GTCTAGCAAGCTATTAACATAGCAGGGGATAAGAAAATCTTAATTAAACAGAACTTGCAATAAAAGCCTAAATAGGGCTCTCTTTACAGGAAGTGTTTATGGAAGGCTGTGCAAGTCACATGCAGGGACGTGTGACTAGGGTTCATAAACAAAGGGATTTAACTCCTAAATGGCAGAGGATTGAGCAGTGAGGCTGCAGGGGCATGTTCTATACACCAAAACTGCTTCATTAAGCTAAAGTTGTTCAGGTGACTATAGTGTCCCTTTAACCCCTTAACGACCAAACTTCTGGAATAAAAGGGAATCATGACATGTCACACATGTCATGTGTCCTTAAGGGGTTAAGCTTGGCTAAGACGAGAATGACGAGGTCGCAAGTTTGTATAAATGATGCTACGTCGAAAAGGTTGAGACCACAGCTCAATTTATGCAGATACATCAAAATTGGTAAGTGGCCTATCTATCTATCTATCCATCTATCTCTTTCTTTCTTTCTTTCTGCCTGTCTGTATTTTATCAATAATCCAGCACAACAGTATGTACAGAACTCGTATAGGTAACATCATTAAAACTATTTTGCTATACCTCACAGTATTGCATGTTTTTTCTTTATTTGTTTTACATGTTGTAAGCAAAGCTGTATCCCCAAAACATTGTGGGGGTAAGTTCACAAAACATATAAATACAAAAACATACCATGATTATTGATCTTGCAAACCTTTTACTCACTATTCAGAGGACTTTTTTTTGTTTTATAATTCTTTGAAAAAAAAATAGTTTTTGAAACTCTAGTTTTACAGTACAAACACGTCACCTATTAAGATGCCTTGCATTCTGACCCAGTGGCATACTAGACAGAATATTATACAGAATAATAGGCCAGCACTTATCATAATGACACGTTTATGAGAGTTGCATTTTATATGTAACTAAAAATTCCACACTACCCTGTGAAAAAACAAATAATTAACTGAATGACTGCGGCTTTTCCATGGCCTAACATGTCTAAAACATTTGAATAATTTAATGTCAATACCTACATTGTCCATTTTATATGTTCTATGGTCAGTCAATCTCAATCACTTGGCCAGTTTTGACAACTGCCTCCAAACATTTTTGCAAGCCCCAAAAGGTCTAAAATATTTCAGTGCATTATATAGATCTTCCACGTTTCATGTTCTGTACTAAACATAATGAACCCGTTAAACCTACTCTGCCTGCCAGACAGTTAAAATTTCTTGTAATACACAAAATTGTTTTACAGTCAATCTCCATCTGTGGCCAACATTTTTTTGTGAAAATTGTAGTATAAAGAATAAACTTCTTCTCTGATGATTACACCATAAGATGCTTCAGAGGTGATTGAGACCAGGTTCTGTAGGCTACTTAGACAAGGAGTGTTAGAATTGGAATAAAAATGACAGACCTGTTTATGGAATGTTAGGGCCACAACATTATAAAGAGTGCAGAAAGAGTGGGAAGATGAACGCAAAAAAGAGAGAAAATACACACAAATACATAATTTTCTACTTCTTCATTCTCTCAATAAATCTCCACATTACTAGGTTTCAGTAACACGTAGGGCTTAAGCCTAAAGATAAAACTCAATGACCCCTACATCAAGAGAAATGTGAGATGTTATTTTCCCGTCTCTCTACTATACTGCTTATGCTCTTTGGAATCTCCATGGAATCAATCATACCTGGAAACAAGAACATGTTGCACAGGCTTGTGTTTAGTATAGTCCCTACACACTGCCTTACTAATATAGGGGTGTGCAGCACAGCTCTGTTTCTCAGCATCCCCTCAAAACAGTTATTTGGGGTGAACTACTTATTATGTAGCCTGACAGAGCACTCTACTACCGATCTTTCTTTTTTTAATAGGCAACTGCCTCGTCCACCGTCTTTAAAGATTTGGGGCTTAAGAACTCCACATCAGGAGCTTCAGCCCCCAAAGTCACCCCTAGCAATGCCTATGCTTCAGAACATGAGGCATTGTCTCAAATTAATCTAATTTATATGAAAAAAAAACTCTGTTACTCCCAAGTAGGCCGAAATATCCCCAAAACAAATGATAACAAAATTACACCAAATCAACAGCCCCCCCCCCAAAAAAAAATATGTCAGCCAATAATTAATACATTTGTGCATAGTTAGATCTCCATAACACACCCTTCCCTAAACCATCTTCAGTCAAAACTAATTTATGTGTCGTATGAAACTCCCATTTACAGGCACTACAATTTTCATACCTTTTTTAAAATCTCATGTTATAATATTCTTTTGTAATCATTAGGGATATGGAGGACCCAAAAATAGCAGCAGCAAAATAAAATAGGAAGTAAGACTTGTAGAGACTGGATTTACATGCAGTATATATACTTTAATTAATAAAAAGTGAAAGAGCAAATATACATAAAAATATAATAAAATACCAGTCAGAATAAGAGTCTTTAAAATTCTTCCTCACTAGACGCATTTCCCAGAGGCATGTCATACTCTACCTAGGTTGTTTTCAGGCCCAGCCTTAGGCCTTTAGGAACCTTGTGTGAAAACTCATTAAAGCTCCCCTCCCTGGTCATACCCGTTCATCCAATACCGCTTGTTATTTTAAAACAAAGTGATAATTGCTGGGATTTCAAAGTAAATCTTATATATTTGAAACAAAATAGTAAAATTGGGCACATCCTGTGTTCCTGCCATCTTGCACAATGTTCCGTTTACGTTCACGTTTATATTTTTGTGTACACATAAATATATACTAGTGGCGTAACTCATGGTGGCTTCACTTCCATGGAGCTAAAGATGGAGGTGCTGAATTTAAAAAAAAAAATCACTGTTTTGTAGATTTTCTCACCAATGAATACATGCATGTATTCACTGGGATATATATCTTAAAAGAGCTTGCGAAGTCTGATTATCTTATGAACTGCAGCCTTTGTAAGCCCTCCCCTTTTTTCCCAGAAGAGACTTTCTCCTTACAGGGAAATAACCAATCAGGGGCTTCTCATTGAGAAGCCTCTGAATTGGTTCTCACATGCACGCAATGGATATGATAAATTGCTCATTCTTGCCTGAGACATTGTGGAATGGAGGTAATTTTTTAACCCACTTTAGTTTTGGAAATTAATGTTCATCAGCCACCTCACTTACAGAAAGTATCATCAATATTCCCAGTGAAATGGAAATGTTTGGAAATGTGTTGGTCGAGTTATTCTCCACTAGATACTGCAAGATGTTGACGACTGTCATCTCCCGAGTTAGAAAATGTCTAAGGGTGACCAGTTCATCAAAAAGATCCAATCCATTAGTGTCAGAGTGGGATAACTGGCAGCGGCGTCACTGGGGAGGGATGGGGGGGGGGAGCAGAGGGGGCCATGGGCCCCCTACATCATGCAGTGCCCTCCCTTGTTCCCCCCCAATTGAAATTGAAGTCGAGAGCACTGCATCTCCCTACACAAGCTGCAGCAGCACTGTCACTGTGGAACTATGTCCCACCCTTTTCCCATGTGCAGCCAAAGGGGGCACTGTGCTGGGAGGGCTTCCTCGCAGGGGAGAGACAGGGAGAGGAAGCTCAGCTCTGCACAGAGGCATCCAGGCAGCTGCTGGTAAGTGTGAATCAGTGTGTGTGGTTCAGTCTGTGTGTGTGTGTCAGTGTGTATGGGTCAGTCTGTGTGTGTGTGGGGGGGTATCAGTCTGTGTGTGTATGGGTCAGTCTATGTGTGTGTGTGTGGGGGTTGTCAGTTTTGTGTGTGGGGTGGGGGTTCAGTCTGTGTGTGTGGGGGGCTCACTCTGTGTATGTGTGTGTGTGTGTGTGTGTCTTTGTGTGGGTACAGTTTGTGTATGTGTATGTGTCAGTTTGTGTGTGTGGGAGGCACAGTCTGTGTATGTGTATGGGTCAGTCTGTGTGTGGGGGGGTCAGTCTGTGTGTGTAGGTATGGGTCAGTCTGTATGTGGGGTGGGGGTTTAGTCTGTGTGTGAGGGGGTCAGTTTGTGTGTGTATGGGTCAGTCTGTGTGTGTGTGATGGGTCAGTCTATGTGTGTGTGGGGCTCAGTCTCTGTGTGGGGGGCTTTCAGTCTGTGTGTGTGTTTGTGTATGGGTCAGTCTGTGTGCGTGGGGGTCAGTCTGTGTATTTGTGTATGTATGAGTCAGTTTGTATGGGGTGGGTCAGTCTGTGTGTGTGGGGGGTCAGTCTGTGTGTGGGGAGCAGTCTGTGTGTTTATGGGTCAGTATGTGTATGTGTATCGGTCGGTCTGTGGGTTTGTATGGGTCAGTCTGTGTAAGTGCTTGAGCTCCAAGAGAGATACCTCTCATCTCGTGACCTCCCCCATACCCGATGGATAGGCAGCCTTCTCAACCACCATGGATCTGATTGTGCCAACCCCTCACTGCAAGGTAAGATTTGGGAAATGGGAATATTCTTAAAAAAATAATAATAAATAAAGTAAAAAATGTAAAGCTCTTCCCTATCACACTCTCTACACCCCCTGAACACAGACATTGAACCCCTCACATAAAGTACACTCCCACAAACACAGAGTACATATTTGCATACACACACAGTGCACCCCTCACACACATCATCTCTTCTCCCACATACACACTTCTTCCCCACATACCTTCACACACACACACACATACATACATACATACATACATGCTTCACCCCATTACACACTGAATCTTATATATATATAATAACTACAGCTCCTTGATAAGCACACAATGCAACCCCAATACACATACACTAACACTACAGTTCCTAGATGCACACAAACTCACTTTACAGGCCCTGTCAGCACACACACAATCTCAAAAGCTTCTATACATGAGCACATGCTCACAGTACACAAAGTACTCCATAAACAGACTCCTATACACACACACTGATAACTGGCTGTCTGTTAACTTGTTTTGCAGATCTATGTAACACTGTAATATAGAATTTCTGTCCATTGAAATTTTGGGATTTGATATTAGAAAGGAAACATGTCACAATGGCTCTAAAGTAACTTGAATTTCTCATTTATAAGTTGTAAGGATGTGTCCAAAACTGCAATGAAAATATTCACTTTAACACTTTGTGTAGGGTCTGCAAGAAACTCATCTTCATGTTCGTAGTCAAAAATCTTCTTTCTTCTTCAAGGTCTGATTGTAACATCATCAGGAAATTGCACTTCACAATCAACCTATTTTCGAGGAAATTGCGCTTCATAATCAAGTTATTTTCAGCTATTTCTTTGGCATCTACTAGCACATTCACAAAACCTTCATCAGACCTGGATTGGTCCAAGTACCTATTCAACTTTTCCAGTTCCTGTACATGTTGATATGTTTAATGTTGTTTGCTGCAGTATTTTGCTGATGGCGTTCACCTTTGATAATATTTCATACCAAATGACAATGGAACAAATGAATTTGAATGTTTTTATCTTGGTTACTAAGGAATGGGCCTGATGTTCAGTGTTAATGTCCCTGTTGTCATCATATACTTCAGGTAGGAAATAACGCAAGGGTTTAATTGCTGAGACTCTGCTTTCCTTTCTGGTATTGGTTCTCTATGTGGTTCACATCAGGAGTAAAATCGAGAAATATTTGGTCTCATTTAGGTTTTTTTTAGGTTTCTCTTTCTCCTATTTTTGTTCCAACTATGGCAATTACCTCATTCTGAATCTTGCAACCAAGGATAATGATGTGATCAAATTTCCCTATCACTTCAACTAATTTCAGAAAGTTACCTTTATTATTTTGAAACAAACGGGTATTGCTGCCACAAAGCACCAGATTTTGTAACACTAAATATTGGAAAATGTATATTAGTATCTGTATGACAGAATTCCAGCATTTTTCTTATTGGTCAATGATTTTTTTTACTTATCATTATCAATGGTTGATCCATTTTCCAAAGCTCTTGCAAGATCCATCCATTTCTTATTTGTGACATGGAATGTGTTTTTTTAAGGCCGGCTGAAATGTCTTGACAGATGCTGCCAATCATTAAAGCCTCTTATTGTGACCAAAGCCATATTTCCACTGTTGAATATCCTGCAAGCAAAGCACTAAACTGAATTATTAGATGTAGAATAGATCAACCTATTTCGAGCTATCTTCTCTCCATTATCCAGTACTATTTGGTAGTCAGAGATTGAAAAGCTCCTGCTGGTACTTCTTTTGGAAAAGTATAGGCCTTTTCTTGAACAGGACCAATATATATCAAAGTTATTCTGTGTTTGTCATCTATTTATTCAGCCCAGAAAGCAGGATCACTTGAGATTCCACTTGATGACGTTGAAGGCTCTTCATGTTCCATTTCGGTTTCTTCACTCATGACTACAATAGACTCAATGTCTGACTTGGAGGAAACATCAGATATATCTGCCTCTTCAATGTTAAAATGCTCTGCTGCTGAACCAATGTGACCTGCAGTTACATCTCCAGATGTTATTGGCTCAATGCCTTTCAGGAACCACTGGGGCAAGATCAATATATTCGGATTCTTCCAATTCTGTATTTGTTTCTCCATCATGTGAAATGTCTGTGAGACTGGAAGTTATCTCTTTGTTTGATGTTGCTGTATCTGTACCAGTGGAATCTTGATCACTGCTTAACGAAGACTGTGGCTGTAAGAAGCTTGTGATGGGAGAAGTAAATTTTCCAAAGCTTCTTCCTTTTCTTCCTGGTGTTTCAGGTTTTGATATACAGATAACTCTTTTTTTCTAGCCATCCGAGGGTAAATGCAACTAAATAAAGTCACAGAACAGTAAACGTTAAGTAAGTGTTTTTAACCATCAATAATCTTTTTATTTTGGAAAATATCAACAAAGCATAATTGAAAAAAAAAAATGCCATTGGAAACTAGGTTAAAATGCAAACAATAAGACTGACAGCTCTCTCCATTACAGTTCTTGACAACTCCCATCAAACATGTCTAGTCATAGCAGTAATTGGGGTCTCCCTGTGTTAATGTTTTTAATCTTTTCCCAATACTTGTTCAGTATTTCTTCTAATTGAACCCTTGGCATGGCAACAAGAATTTTTCACAAGAAAAATATCACTGGATTATATTTTAAAATTAAATTAAACCATTACTCCTGCAGCTATTTAAATGTTAATTATTGTTTTTTTTAAATTTTATTTAATATTGTTTCCTTGTTAGAAAGCTTATAAACATGTTAATGCAGGCACAATATTTGTATTGTATATAGGAATAAGACAATTTTTCGTAATTCTTAAAGTTTTAGACTATATTGACAATTAAAAACAATGCTAAATTTTAATAATATTGTGACTCACTTACTGACATGGATTAAGTCACAAGATATCATATGTTCTGTTATCCTTTAAATGATGGTAGTTTTGCTAAGTGTTAGAATAAATTATACAAAACACAAAGACAGACAGTTAGCATCTTAGAGATTGTGATTAAGGGGCACAGGGAAATGCAAACCATTGCCCACAGAATGTCTGTGCATAATGCAATGATTTGACACTAGTACATGTAGGTCCATGTCAGCCTCATCTAAGGTACTAAGTACCTTCTCTCTCTCTATCTCTCTCGCCAGCCAGCCAGCCAACTAGCCAGCCAGGTAGGTCTTTGGAAGTGTATATATAGACAGTACAGTATGGGCATAATTTGATATGCAATTTACCCAAGTCTATCTACCTACATGATGCTCTCCTACTAGGTTTGTTTTTCATAGTTTCAACAGAGGGAGAATCTGTTCATTCCAACTCCTCTTCTTCCTTTATACACTCCAAGGCAGTTGTTCCCAAGCCAATCCTTGGCAATTCGGGACTTAGGGATAGGGTTAGGTGTAGGGTTAGATTCCTGTCATCATTCATGTAATTTTCCCTCCCTCTCTTGTTTTGCCACTTTTCAGAAATCCGAAGCACTTCACTTCAGCTATTTTGTTCGGTTCGGCACCTCCAAAATTCGGCAATTCGGCAGCATCCGAATTGACGGAATTTGTCCGAATTTTAATTCGGAACGAAACTAATTGCACATGTCTAATTATCACCTCATCCTCCACTATTTATTTTTACAGGTGCAGGGTAACGTGAATGCATGCTCCTCGTGACCTGCACCCTTTATTAATGTCGCTGGCACTTTCTTGACCTTCCCTATTAGAAAACAGAGGACTGGTCAGGAGAATCACTTTAGTTTAACCCCTTAAGGACCAAACTTCTGGAATAAAAGGGAATCATGACATGTCACACATGTCATGTGTCCTTAAGGGGTAAGATGAGCGCGCTGCATATGTACCGTTTTATTTCAGCACCTCATCCTGCTCGGCATCCGAACATCGCCACCCATTTAAATTTTGCAGTGCTTGCTCCTTTCAGCACCTGCTCCTCTTTGTGCCCCCCTTCTGCCTCAGCTTCCTGGCGTCTGGGTACTGTGCAACCGGCCAAGATCGGCCCTGCATACATATACACACTATTACTTATACAAACACCTTTGAACATATACACACTCAAACACACAGATATACGTTGTTACACAGATAAACACAAACACCCAGTACACACCAACTGAGCTTTTTAGAGGCTTCTGCAGGGGTGTAGATGGAGAACTGACACACAGGCACTGTATATATGACTGTAGGTAGGCAGAGCTAACTGGGAAGCAGGGCCTGGGGAGGAAAGGGGCAGAGGGAAACAGGGTAAAGCTGGAGTCTGTGTGCATGGGGCGGAGTTAATATATTGTGGGATTGAGGAGGTGGGGTTACGATCACAGCATAGAAAAAATTGCAAAAATCAGTTTTAGACACAGAATTTGATTGAGCAGTGCAGGAGTACTAGCAGCTGTAAGTAATGGGGTAGGCGTGGTTCCAATTATTGCTGAGTGTAGGGAGAGGGTAAAACACATCTTAATGGGGATCTAAATTTGTCAGAACACCGAAGTTTGGACTGTGTGACCTGAATGGCTACCTGGCACCCCTGTTGCCACAGGACCCTCTAGTTGAACACAGCTTCTATATCCCAATGTCTGGTCATGGCTGTTTTAACACATTGTACAACTTCAGACTCCTACATTTCTTTTTTTATTCCTTATCCTATTTAATTTTTAGATAATCTTCAATGTGTTTCTTGGACTATAGCCTGCTAAACTGCAGTATTGCTCGTCCTTCTATGATCCTCCACTATGTTACTCACGATCATTCCTCCTCTTTCAATTGGGAATGATAAACTAGCTAACTTGGCTCTCTAACATACCATAACACCTGGATCATCTTTTGCTTGAACTCCCTTCTGCATTCATAAAAGCGGTATTTGATTCTCTGGATTGTGAAAGCCAACAAAGGACACTGATTGCATACCAACTACAAGGCCAATTACAGATGGAGTGCACAGGTGTGCATTTCACACTGTTTACTTGTGATTGGTAGGCTTGGAGTTTCTCTATATCTTGTGTGTGCAAATATCTGCTGACTGATAAAAAAATAAATAGTAATGATGGTGCAGGCACTCAATTTCCACATTCTGAGGATTGGCCAACCTCAGGCCCAGTTGCACCCTGGTAAATTAATTGATAAAAATAAATAGTGATAAAAACAGATTTCTAATTATATGTAACAACTGCTTTTTGAAATTAATCCAAAATCCAAAATGTTTGTGTTTCCTTAAATAATCTGTGAAATGTGCAGTGTTTATTGATGTCATATGAATAACACATGTTTCTCTTTGGTCATACAATCCCAAGCTAACTTTTATGAGCTGTTATAACTTTAGTATTATTGGCATTTATATAATAGTAACTTACTCCGCAGCTATACAATATTATAAAGGGGGAAATGTATCAATAAATGAGACAATTACAAAATAGAACAATAGGTTGATAAGGACTCTACTCAAACGAGCTTCCAATCTAGACGAGATGGGGTATAAAAACACAATAAATGAGAGAAATTAAGAAATATGTATCCATTCTCACTTTACATCTTTGCATCTTTTTTGTTCTCCATAATTAAAGTAGTACTCCAAGCACCATAACCACTATAGGCTTCTGTAATGGTCAAGGTGCCAGGAGCTTCTTGGCTTTAAATGTCAAACCATTTCTGAAAGGCATCCAGGCATTTCACAAAATTTAAAACACATACACACACTCAGGCACACTTCCACATCCTTTTTATCACCAAAATATCTTGATATTTTAACAACGTGACATGATGACATGATGGTCAAACATACATCTGCTTATTACTGCTTATTACTCATATTTGCCCCAGTCTAATGCTAGATGTTCATGAGCTTATCATTTCCTGCCTGGGCTATTGTAGCTCACTACTCAATAGCCTTACTCCATACCTCTGTGCACATCCTTATATTGACTTCCTTTTGGGATCTAATTCAAACTAGTGACACTATTTCACAAAGCTGACTCTAATTTACAAATGTGACTCTTCTCTGATAGCTCTCCCATCCCTCCACACTTTAGTTTGTCATTTTATCTCCTCCACTGTATGGTTCCTCCATCACTTTTACTTGACTGCAGACCACTTACATTCCTGTTGCCATAAGGGCAATGGCCACAGCTGTGACAAAAAGAAAAGAAGAAACAACAACAACACCGCAAAAACATAGCACCAACATAAATAATCAGCCTGTAGGGAGGGAGGGAAGGGAAAACCTGTTCCTGCCTTTCTTTCTGGGAATGGCGAGTACCCTCCCCT